AAAAAAATTCCAGATGTGTCCAGATCTCATCAAAGAATTCGAGGATCTTGAGCGGCTTAGAAAGAAGCAGAGAGCAAAAAAGCTAAAAGAACAAGCTGAAATAGCGAGGAAACGCAAACTGGAAGCAGAGAAAAGGGGAAGGGAAATGGTACCTTAGTTTTGAGTAATTTTCTATCGCCATATGTTTTACGATTTAAACGCCAATGGTGTTTACAATAGTGATATATATACTACCTTCATATCATTTTTCTTTATGCTGTCACTTATTTACTTTTGCGTTTATTCGTTTTTGGTCATATGGCCTTTTTTTAGATTTGCGAAGTTATCGACATGTGTTCAAGCACTAGTTCATCGGATGATGAGGATTCTCAGGTGCTTTTTGCTTTCCTCCTTGACCTTTTAGTTCTCTTTCTTGTCTACTTTAAAATCTACTTTTTCAGGCACGTTTGTTCAGAGCCAAGACGGAAAAGCTCTTCTCAGGTAAAGTTTTACATCGTATGGTATCTAATTTGAAATTAGGCCCTGTCACTGTTTCTACGTTTTCATCGTGTTTTTCACTAGGCAAAACTAACAGAATAATGCGGGAATCCACTTCTAAGGGTCTTATGAGAGCGGAAGAAAGAGGAGCCCATAATAAGGATAAAGTTATCCATCGCCGTTTGGAAACTGTCAATGGCAGATCGCTTTGTACGAATGCCCAACGAACGGAGCTCAAAACTCACAAACGCATTGTTCTGTCTTCGAGTGAAGATGACGAAGATGCAGTACCGCTGTTGCATAATAATGGAGGAAAGGTTGAGCGAAAGGATCAAAAACAGGGTAAAATGGATAATACACTTTGGAGTAAAAGCGCGAAACTGCACACTTCAGCCTCTGAAAATAGCGAGATCGGTAGTGTCAAAGAATATGGCTCTTATGGTGTTTTTAACAAAAGACAGCTGGAAAGTGAAGCCAATGGTGAAGGAGCTCCTATCTCTTCCAGCATCAAAAAGGAGACATCAGGTACTCTTTTTATTTGCAGTGTTTAATTAGGGCCATCCGAATCATTCAAAATTGTGCACCTATTTGACGGCAGTCATGAATCTTATACTTTATCAATTCATTCTAGACTCTATGAGCGTTAACGGGAAGTCAGAAGGGTCCATGATTGGAAAGGTGAGTCTGTTCCATAGTCATTATATTAATTTAATGATAATATCATTAAATTCTATCTTGATCGTCTTAATAGTATACAAAATCAGTTCCTATGTTCGGCTACTTTGAATTTTGGCATTATTTTTATTGACCTTCTCTCAGCTGATGACTGAGCCGTAGACCAACTGTCAATTAACTCTTATTTCGGCTGACGTTCCAGCGTCTCCGCCTCCTTCAGAGCTTAGAAGTCGGATATTCTACTACAGATAGTGTAATCAACGGCTAAGAGAAAACAGTCTCTGAGAAAGGAACTAAGTTAGCGCTTACCTTCTTAGCCTTTTACAATAAATAGTGACTACCTATCGTGAAGCTGCGCCGCTAGCGATACTGATTAGTAATATGCAAATTTCTCACCCGTATCTGACCTTACCTCGACCCGTAGGTCAAAACCCGCAAAAAACTTGATCGGCGCCAGCTCGTTTGTTACAGCAATGTATTCTTATTTCCCATTTGTTTTTGCATTCGGGACATGATCCAGTACGCCTCGAGATTGCTGGCTACTGCTTCAGGTTCGTGCGACAAAATGACAGCCGTTCAAATGCAATTGAAAGTCAATGCATTGTCATAATATTGCCTGTGATGAGCACCTCAAGGTGTAGCTTGACATAACGAGTTCGTCCAAGTGCTCCTATTCGATTTTGTCGCAAGTTTGAAACGGTCGCTCAAATGCAAATGCTTTCGACTTTTTGAGTTCTAGAGAGCGGAGACGCCGAAATTCGCCGAAATAAAAGCTAATTGGCATATAAAATCGATTTTCAAATACTCTCGGAAGCTTTGTATTTTAGGCTTCTTTTTTAAGAGTATGGAAAACCGGGGCGCCACTAGTAGAAACGGTGTCTCTGGTAAACAAATCCCCACTCTTGCTTTTTCTCTTTTGGTGTAACGAGGAAACCTTGCAAAAGTAAAAGTAGGCAACCGTTTGGAGATTGCAAAGCGCAGAACACATCGAATCGGATAGGGTCTGGGAGGGCGGAGTAATGTATAGTAGTCTCTGCCAATCGACCCGATACCTTATCCTATTTTTAGCTACTAGAAGTAGTGAGCACCGTGATTAGGCTGAAGAAATCAAAAATAGGTTGACAGACTCACCATGATCCTAAGAGAGCTCGTTTATTTTCTGTAGGAAACATGGAAATAGAACAGTTGATTGCGTGGGCAGAGCTTAACGACAGTAAGTAGTCTTCTAACCGGTAGAAATTGCGCGATTTCAGCCAAAGTAGGCAGATCTGTGATGGGCTCTATATAGTTGCTATTTTCAATTGTGTTTTGTAAATCCCATATTTAGGAAGGTATTATTTTTTCCTCACTTTTCAAAGTCATGTTGAGAAGAATTGGCCCTCCAGCCACTAGTCTTATAGGACTTTTAGGAGGTATTGCTTGCAATGGGTAATCGTTTCTAGTTACTCACACTGTTTTTACATTAACATTAAGCCAATATATAGTTAGTTCTATTTGTTGACTTAAAAAGCCTGAAAGTTTTTGGGATAGCTTCTTGTCGGGTGGCACGGATATATAGTAGCTGGAAATAAATTGTGCTTGGACTAAACAAAAATAGTTTAGCCTTTATCTCTGAGAGGATTGAAAGAAACTCTCTGTTCCCGTGGCTCGAATAGTTTATTCTCGGTTGGAAAAATGTTAGAGTGAACCATATACTTCGGCTTCTATTGGGCCGGCTGCGCTTCTAACAGCCTTAGTACTGTTCTATTGACAAATGATTGGGTTATATTGTGGATGGAAACGTATCTAATTACCTTTTTTCCCAGTTTTGTACTTCTTACCTTACATTCTTAACTTTTTGTTTAGGATGAAGACCCATGGAGCGGCTTCAAATACGTTAGAAGAGAATGTGATGGCTTTCAAAAGGGTTACAAGGTATAAACCTTATGACTTCTTATACCATTTGGGGAGTTGTATGTTATCCAGGAAGACTAGACTCAAATCTTTGCATCATATGTCGATAACAAGATACTTTAGAAATTATTCTCTTTTCTTTGCCTTAGTGTAGCAACCAGAAGCAAGGTCACTCTACGAAATCCATGGCGGTGCACAGAATTTTTGTTTTTAGATGGCATTAGCCGATTCTTACTTATTTATTTGGTGAATCCAAAGTCTTTTGCTGGTCTAGCTAAAGAAGTGAGAGGTGGGATGGAGGCGTAGGCTGCTGTGACTATGCTGGTTTGTTACAAGGGTCTTTTTGTCGCATGACTAGAACGTCGTTACTTTCGACTCCTTGTCCTCAAAAATAATCATGCTAGTGTGATCATGAAGATATTTTGTTTTTGATTGCAAGCGGATTACATTCTTAGCTTGCGTAGAGTTGTGAACCTGTTAATACAGATAAATCATAAGGACATTAAACTTTTGTCCATTCCCGTGTATTTTCTCATGAAGGCGGCATTGTTTATTGCTAGCCGTATCACGAAGTTAGATCCGATTTACGGCCCACTTTTATAATTGCGTAACAATTTCATTTATTCATATCTTAGGTTCAAAATTGCCAGCATAACATATTTGATTACCGCAGCACTTGGAAAGAATGCTACATTCCACACCTGAAAAGAGTCACTTTTACCTCGTTTCGACAAAGCAAGATGATTTAAGACTGAATAAGAAGAAATACCTTGAAAATGTTGTTTGTAGGCGGTCTCCTTTTCCATTCGTATGCTGATTTTGAGCTATAACTTACAGCCTTTTGTCATCTATATCTTAATCGTTTCAGGTAGTGAAAGTGAGCGTAGTTACGAAACATCCCATAACAAATGACATCGTAGGGATTGTGGTGTTCGCTCATCCAGACGGTGAAGAATTCGCTCAGTATATCCCTCTGCGAGAGATACATGAGAATGCTCCAGCGGTACGTTGTAATTCGTGATGTCATCTCATTATAAATTTAGTTCACAGTATTGCATCATTCGCGATAGCCATATTTGGTGAATCGAAACGGAAAGTGTTCAGTTTCAGGTCACAATAATCAGCTTACTATCAGAATAATTACAAGATAGCAGCTGGCACAAGATTTGGCTTATTGGCATAGCCAATTTATAAATATGGTTAACACTTCTCTGTCCAGTAAAAAAGGCAGCTTCTGATTAAGTCACGACAAAAGAGATGCACATTGTAGATGTTCTTTGGAACGCTTTACTGAACTCTAATTGCTCTTTTGTGAAAAGAAGGTTTGAAAGTTCTTTGAAAAAGTAGTGCAGTGCTATCCCTTGTCTTGAACCAGAATAAACTCAAATCAGACATACGAGAAATTACTTTTTAATGGAATCAGTTCGTTGCGAGCTTCTCAGCGATATAAATGACAGATCGTTCACACTGCTATGTTTTATGCATAGTGATTCTTTTTCAAGAGTCTGCTCAAGGCTTTATCAGTGGCATACTTTATCGCTTCCATCGTCACACATCTTGTCGCCGCAACTGAGTGCGCTATCCGACAAACCTTGTGATTAGTCAGCAATGAAGTTAGCGATTAGGATCTAGACATTAAATTGAGGAAACGTATGGAATCCAATAAGGCAAGGTTCTCATTATAAGTTACTCAGTTCCGTAGCGTCATGTCGAGTCAGCCACGCGATTTTGCTCTGCTGAATTCAACTCGTCATGTGAAACAGCATAAAATCAGTTATGCTTCTTTGCATGCATAGTAACCAGCGGGCGCAGTTTAGCTAAGCGGGGGTTAGTTCAGGTGGGCGCGCGAGGCATTGCGTAACTATATAGGTGCTGTAATTGCCTATGCTTAGAGCAGATATAAAGTTACCGTTTGTCCGCACCTATCGGTGCACAAACATCTTTCTTTTAATGACTGTCCATTTCACTGGTTGAGCGGGAAGGGGAAGGGTGGGAGTACTTAGGTACCCGTTGCACGTACTGCCGTGTATCGATGGGAGATCAGCTGTCACGAGCCTCGCTGCGCATTAATTAGTACCGTAAGCACAGCCTGCGCTTGGAACATCATCCCGTTATCAAGCGAGGTGCGCGCTCAAATAAGGGCGGGTCTAATAATGACCGCCCTTATTTAAGCGTGGACGTAGACATTCCGTTGCTGGAATGCGCAGGCCAAAGATGAAACATGGTTTTGATTTCAGAATTGAAGTTCAGTGTGAAAACTTAACGAATCAAGTTGGAAATTCCCAGTTAGGGATCTTCGGAGTTGCTTTTCGATTATGGCAATCATTTCCTACCAAACCTTGCTGTTTAATGACAAAAAAGCCTATATATTCGTGTATCTGAGTTATCCTATCTGTACACTTTTATAAGA